AAGACCTGCACAGAACACGCTCCTCGCATCAGTCGTACTCCCAGTCCACCATGGGAATCAGTTACGGCCCCTTAACTTTGGGGGTCTGGGTCAGCGCTGGAATCTGTCCCCAGCCGCAGTAAATGCAGAGTCAGAGCCAGATCTTGGCTCCCAGGCCATCCCTGCCCCTGCAAAAAGGAAGATTCTTGTAACGCTCTTCGGGTTAAGGAAAGCAAAACTGAATTTTGTGTTACTTCTGCTTTGGGGATGCAACCGCTACAGCACCTAAGCCTCCTTTAATAGAAGTCCTACTGAGAGGAGAAGCACATAGCATTTCAGCATCAAGCACGACAAAAGGCAGGGGCTGGCAGGGCCCTATTCACTCCTGAGGCTTCTGCCCTGCAATTTACAGCGTTCACTCACGCGGTCCCTCTACGTCGATGCAGCTAATGGAAGCCACCCTTGAAAAGGCATCTCCTGCACCCACATCGGCTATCAGAGACAGCGAGTCCTCCTTTGCCTCCTTCTGCCCTCACAAGATGAAGCACCTACCTCAGCGCTTCAAAAATAAACTTCAACTGCATTAATTACAGGGGGTTCTGGAAGAAAAGCATTTGACTGCTGCATGAAGTTCAGGCAAATCTTCGTCTCCAAGAACCAGACAATTCGTATGAGATCACCACCAAAGACAGCTTGGTCATCTGCAACCAGCCCAGCAGCTGCCAGGACTTCTGAAAGAGATTTAACCTCTGAATTTGTAGAGAACTTCCCCATTATTTTATATGGTAGCTGCAGGACCCACCGGAGAGGCTGACCCGCATGGCCCCACAGGCAGGACGTCCCATACGACAACTCTCCTACGCGGTGGGACTGAGGGTCTCAGTCTCCAGACCTGTAAAGTTACAGGTTGCAGCAGGAGAGATTAACGTGAGACGTACAGCGCAGGCAGTTCTGGTGTGGAAGTCCTCCATCTCTGCTTCCCAACCCAAACAATCATCAGGCAAGAATTAGATTTCTCACCACTCCTGAAAGCAGTTTGATGCCAGTTAATTCTTAATTTTTTTTCCAGGGTTCAAGCTTTCCATGACAACTAGACAGTAACTCGTTAGTTAGCATTCATCACTGGTGACATGGCTCACGGGCTGACAGCGACGTGCACCGCAGACTGACTGACACGTATCTGCAGGCTGTGTCTTGTCAAGTCACATTTTGAATTTAACTTAAGCTCCTCTCCTATTTACCCTGTAAATGCATTAGTGGAATAAAAGGTGGTTATTTTATTCTTTGAATACGGTCCAACAGAAGCCAGCTCCTTACGGTGCTGGTACGCTCTTCACCACGCACAAAGTTACTTCCAGCGAGCACAGCACCAGGCTGGAAGCCAGGAAAGCATCTCCCGTGTGAGCATACAGAGTCCATTTACATCTGTATTTCAGCAACGCCCTTTGTTCTAAAACATTTAGGTTGAGATGCACTGGATCTTATTCCTCAAACGGCAAGGACCAACTATGATCCTTCACCATTTCAATGCAGTCAGGAGCATGTTACACTGAAGATTTTCTTGAACGGTTTGAGTTGCATACACAAGATCAAATTAGCTATCTGGTGGTTTAGGACTGGCACTAAGGACGGGGACCATCTCGCCTGCTTTCAGACATCAGCAGTGGAGGACGTGAAGTGCTAAGTAGCCTCCCATCATAGATGTGCTCGCTCTCTACCATGCAAATCCCTCCAACTAGCCTGAATTTTCTTTCAGTTCGTTCAGCAGTTTTGGTCTTGGTGTAAGGATCAGATCATCTGCTACCTTCAGCATAGTTCCAGCGAGATACAACCTTACTGTCTCATCCTTGGTCCTCTCAGAACAGACAATTTGCTGCCAGGGAAAAGACGCTGATACAAATCTCCCCCTCCATGTTCAGAAAAGCCATGCCTACGCTGCCCTGCTACGCTGCTCCTGAAGGCCACGTCAATGAGGACATCTTATGCAAGACTGCCATCTCTCCAGCCATGCGACAAGCCTGGAGGTCCTTCTGGAACGCCTCAGGAGCACCAATAAGGCACGGGGCACAAAACCTATCCTAAAAGTCCTTTAGTGCCTCTAACAAGGCCTTTTCGGCATGCCTAGCTCCAGACTCATCTCCACTTCACAACCCCGACATGTTGCCTCATACAAAGGGACACCGCGTGGCCTTCATCACTGGCCTCTATGGCCACAGCAAAATGGAAAGCAAGAGAGAGGTTTGGCTGCAAGCAAAGCCACCTGAGCTCACGTGTGTGGCCTTGGCTGTCCGGAACAGCTACAGTCAAAGCCCACCATCCCAGGCTCTTCCATCGCTGGTCATCAGGTAGGAGGCCTGTCCATCCTACTTTCGGTGCCTGGCTGGCAGTGCTGGGCAGGAGGTGTGCCATCTGCCCAAGGTCACGAAACAGGAGAAGTCCAGGTGCCACAGCCAGGCTTTCTACCTGGGAAAGCTCTAGCACAGGCCATTGATCTTGGCAAAGTTCTTCTGGAAGATCGAGTGCTGGATTCCTCTGGAGAGATCCTGCATCTCCAGTACTTGGTGCTGCTGTGGCCAGCCCAGTCATCAAGAGAACTGCAACAGAGACCTCGGAGAGGCAGTCCCTGTGGAAAGCAGGAGGTACAGGATGGAAGATGGTGGTGCAGGTACTGCCCTGCTGCCCTACAGGATTTGCGCTGATGACCTCCACGTTCCTAGAGATGGACACCTAGCTACTGAACAGAAGCCATCATTAGTGCAATGTGCCTCAACTAAGCCTTTGATGACTTTGCTCCAGAAGCTGACTTACTGTGATTCTTGCATCGGGGCTTCCAGCATCTACACCAGAAAGCTGGGCTTTCCTGATCATTCCAGTCCTTAGAAGTACGGGTTCTGATACGGTCAAACCGCCCTTCTTGGACCCCATCCTCATGGCTGTCAACACCAAAGAGATCCCTCTACTCCAATTTCAGCTGATAGGCTATGACATATTTTAAGGTCTATGCATCTTCTTCATTTTAAGAGAAATGAACCCAAGCCCCAGCATAGGACTTTAATCCTCAGCCTTGCAGCCCACCTGTGGGTACCGAACAAGTCACGATAACACACAATGACTTGTCCTTCCCTTGGTAACTCCATCCATCTTCCTTTCCTGTGCTTAGTGACGACGTTGAAATGAATGTTCTTCCCAGGCACTTCATCAAATATCACCTTCATGTGCTCTCAGGGACCCTCAGGAAGCCCTTTTTCTCTTCATTCCTTGCATACACCTTCAACATTTCTCTCTGGGCAATGACCTTTCACGAAAAGTTTAGCAGAGGACCACAAATGCTAGATGCAATGCAGTCTAAGAGTGAAAGCGGGAGGCGATGATGTCAGAACTGTTCTGCTCTCTCTATTAACGACCCTCTACGCTGTTTCCCCCCCAGCGATAAGAAACATTTCCTTAGCTCCTAAGATCCCTGGGAGGCTGAAGTTTAATACACATGGATATCATCTCTTATTGGCAAAATCTGGCGTTCCAAAAGCCTGGCCCTGTTTCGGGCTGCGATCCAGCTCTGTACGCAGGAAGGACTCACTGGTTGAATAACAACGCGTTGCACATTCAGCTTCCCTCTCGACTCATCTTTCAATCTCGCCTCCTGCTTCTGGGATGTGCCGTCCCCTCCAGGCACTTCTGCACCAGCCAGACGTTCCTGGAATCACAAAAATTGATCGTACCTATCCAATTTGCAGGTAATGGGACATTCAAGCAAATTAGCCTTTAGGAAAGGTAATGGCGCCATCAAAATACAGAGCAACTGCGCTCATCAGCGTAAAGCATGTGAGTGTCTCTGGAAGAAGCAAGGGACTTGCAAAATCAGATGACAGTCACAAAGCCAGGTCTAGCAATGCAGTCCCTGGGTAAAACTCTCGGGTTTCCCAGGGAGAAGAGGTGTAACTACTTCCCAATTCATACGGCAGTTGTGGGGGTCAATTAAGGAAGCTCTGGTGCGGGTGCTAGAAAAGGCAGAAGGCATCTTTCTCTTCCGCACCAGCTCAGCTATTATTTATTAATGAAGGGTTGAGTTTCAAACGGGGGATGCTCTGGGCCGTATACCTCCTGTTTTCTTCCTCTTGCTGCCAGGTGTTGGGGTAGAAGAACACTCTGTGCCAGATACCTTGAGGGAGAGGGACGCTGACGGCAGGCCGAGCTGGTCCAGGCAGGCAGGCTTCCCTCCATAACTCACCTGCGCTCAACAGCCTCAACAAGCTGAGTTTTAATTTGCTGATCAAGTTTTCATTAGATTAGAGGCAGAGCCTATTCATCAGCATGAATATAAATCTAAATTGACCCTGGTGATGACTCAGAGGGCAACGCTTAACTGAAGTTCGGCGGGCAGTTCAATCGATTGGAGAACGTGCTTTCTGCTTTTAATGGCTGGACCAACATATTGTTAAATAAATAAATACATACATACAATACAGGGGGTGGGGAAATCAATGACGAGATGGCTGGATGTGACTGGGGCTGCGTCAGGAGAGACGTCGCGCCTGGCCCAACGCGCCGGCAGCTGGGGTTGGTGAACCAAGAAGTCCAGTGATCCCCATGACCGTGAGTTATCAGCACAATGCAAAAGCCTTGACGGGTTTTGATATGAGGCTGCCCCGAGCTCTGGCAGAAGCCACAGGTCCTGCCTGGACACAAAGCACATCCCTTGTGTGGCTATATCTTAACTCTCTGTAAAACTCAGCAGGGGCGGGAGGG